AGGCATGGGGAGGTTTGGGGACTGTTGGGCTGGTGGCAGGTGTGAGCAGCAGTTGGGGGCTGGGGGTAGGTGGGGGCAGTTGTGGGACATGGGGTTGTAAGTGTGGGCGGTGGCTGGGGTAGGTGTGGGTAGTAGGGCAGGAGGGAGTTGAAGGGCAGTTGGGGGCTGGTATAGGTGGAGGGGGCAGCTGTGGGGAGCTTGACAGGACAGTTCTGGGACTGGAGGGGAGAGGTGGCAGGGGCCTTCCCTTTGGGGCCCGGGGGACCCAGGCATCTTGGCCCAGTCCTCATGCGCCTGCTCTTGTTTCCCCGGCAGCCCACAATGAGCACGCGCCGCCGCGGCCCCCCTGGGGACAAGCAACTGCGCAAGAGCTCTGGGCGCGGGTCCTCCGTGGTCTGGGACACCGGCCCGCCACCACCCCCACCGCCACTGCCGCCTGCTCTGGAGGATGCTGGTATTGCCATGCCCTTTGCTGGGTTGTGCCAGGGGTGGGAGGGGGCCCGCAGGCATCCGTCCGCCAGCCACTCTTCGCACCCATGGGGCTGCCCTCGCCTATATCTGCCCAGCCCTGCGCGAGGGCAGTGCCTGCCAGTATCCCCTAGCCCGCCCGCCACCGTGCTCGTGCTCCACACAGTCCCACCCGTTCACCAAGTGGCAGGATGGCCTAGGTGAGGACAGAGCTGAGGGTCCCTGGTTGGCAAATCCGTATCCCCCAAGGTATCGGAGACCTCAGCTGGCTGCTCTACTGTGGAGCCGTTGATAGAGGTGTGCTTCACAGGTGTCCCTGACACCTGCCCCTTCTGCCAACCTGCTCTAATATGCTTCCCGTCCGTGGTCCTGGGACCTCCTGGTCAACCTCATCCTGGCTCTGGGCATCTACCCAAGTGGGAAGGCATCCGTGGCTGGGTTGGAACTCAGTTTTGCTGCTCAGCATCCCCAACTTGGGGCCACAGGCACTGGATCTGCTCCATGTCCCCTTCTGGCTCTCGTTATTAGCCCATGATCTCGCTCCCATCCCTGTTGGAATTTGTTGCTAGCTTCTTGGTTCTTCCCATTTAAAGGAAGTTTGTAGTTTTACTTGGTGGCCCCCAATATCCCCTGAGTGTAACAGGCCCATGTCCTGGGTAGCAGAGAGAGGAGGCTGAAAGGGAGAGCAAGTGGAGTGTAACGGTTTTTTTCTGCAGTTGCACAAGGCAGGGAGGTGGAGGGGAGTCGTGGCTGGGCAAGCAGCTGCAGTGCGTAGGGGTGAAATGCTGACTTTGCTCCCCGCTCTCTGTTTCCTGCCCCATCCTCTGCTCTCCTTGTGGGACTCCCTGGCGGTACGGAAGCTGGCTTCATGTTCCTGGTCTCTCTGGAAGCCACATGGCTGGGTCAGACTGCTCCCTGGGTCAGATGTGGCCTGTAGGCTGTGTGGTTGTGTGGGGAGAGACGAAGAAAGATTGACTGTAGGGACAGATGGTTGATGACTTCACCGAGTCTCCTGTGGTAGCTCAGTTGCAGAGCCAAGCAGGCCATCTGGGACTCTTGGGGCTTAGCCTGGCCCTGTAGCTTCTGGCCTGTGGTCTGGAGGTGATGCTGGCTGGGACTCCTGGAACTTGGGTTGGATGGGGAGGTCGGTCCAGGGCAGACTGGTCAGGAAACAGAGCAGCAAATGGGGCAGGGAGGAGAAAGCAGAGCAGTGGGTGGAGCAGGGAGTGGATGGGGCAGGCCACGGGGCTCCAGGGGCCACTCACAGAAGGCATGGGGTGAACCCCGTGTCCTGCCTGGCAAAACAGCTTGCCCCCCATCCCCTGTGGCCCAGCCTGTGCTTAACCTCCCACCCCCAGCCTCCCACATGCCATTTCCTTCCCCCACCTTGACCCAGCCAGCTTCCAAACTCGAGAGGTTCAGCCTGGGCCTTGCCTTCTGCTGCCTTCCAGCCAGTCTTGCTTTCAGCTGCAACCAGCGCCTTCCCACCTCCCCGCTAGAACTGTTTATCTAAAGCAGGGCCGCGAGGCCCCACTCCAGCCCTCCTCCCCCCAAATTGCTTCCCTCCGGCGTGTTACCACAGTAACCCGCCCGGCGCTCTTCAGAGCGCGCGCCGACTCTTATGTTCTAGTGATCATCGGTGCCTAATGTAACGTGCGCAAAGCTGGCTCTTCTCAGACCTTCCACTCCAATCCAATCTGCCGCGACAGGCAGTGAAATGACAGCTCCTTGTCAGGCGGCCACATGCTGGATGAATTGGGAAGTGTTTCCCTGCGTCCCCCACCTCATGGTGTGTGGTCCGGGGGGCTGTGGGAGGGCTGGATTTAGCCAGGAGCTGCTTCTTCTGCCCTCCCTTGGCACCTTTGCTTTAGACCTCTCATGTGGGGTGGCTTCTCTCTGCTCCCCCCTGCTGAATCCACTCGCTTTCTGGATGTCATGGTTTTTTTCTGGGGGTCCCGGTCCTGAGACATCTAGTGGGTGTGGATGCAGATGGAGCTGATGTGAGCTGTGCCCCTTGGTGCATCTCTGTTCCCCAGCCCCAAAACCCTGCTTTTGGGATGGAAGAAAATCACAAGACCAAATCCAGGTGGTGCGGAAAGTCCGGTGAGGCTGAGAAGGGCCTGGGGGTGCCCATGACCCTTCAGCTGAGTAGGTGGCAGTGGGGTGCAAGCCTGTGGCCTCCTGTATGAGCAGGGAAAGCGCCTGCAAAACCCGGGGCAGTGAAGTTTTTCCAGTCTGTGTGGCACTGGAGAGGCCTCCCCCATCCAGGTCTGGGCCTTGCACTTCCCAGAGAAGGTAGAAGGGTTGGGAAGAGCCCAGCTCAGGGCGACAAAGACACTCGGGGGCCTGACAGGCAGGAGCAATGAGGTCAGGCTGGAAGAGGGAGACTGAGTCTTGGAGGGGGATTGGATCATGGCTTTCAAACCCCTGAAGTGCGATGGCAGGGAATGGAGACAGGCTTTGTTTCTAGGAGCAGTGGGCTCGAGCTGCAGCAGGAGAAACTGAGGCTGGAGCTGAGGAACTTTGTGATGTGGGTGAGGCTGATGTCGAGCCTTGGAGGGGTTGTGGAGACTCCGTCCCTGGATGAACATGGGGCCGGGAGGGTTTAGTTGGGACTGATCCTGCCTTGAACAGGGTGCTGGATGGGATTCATAGACTCATATAATCACGGGATGATCTCGTGAGGGACCTTCCAGCCCCACTCTCCTGTGACCCTAAGGGGTCAAGTATTAGGAGACCCTGTGTCTACTCTGAATTGCCCCTCCTGGGGTAAAAATACCCCTGTCCCCCCAGGCCACGCTCTGTGCCTGAAGGAGACTCTTCCTCCATGCCCTGCAGTGCAGGGGTCAGGCAGCATGGTGGAAACTTTCTGGGTTGTCCAGGTGGGGTGCCTTCCAGAATCCACAACTGCCTATCCTCCACTCGTTTGCCTTTGATGGCTCAATCCTATCATTGTGCGCTAATGAGCTGTGGCAGCAACTAGATGATTGGGAAGGGGGAGCTGCCTGTCATGTTCCAGCCCTGAACTGGCCGGCGGGTGGCAGAACAGGAGGGGAGGAGAGGAGGAGGAAGAACTCTGGCTTGTCCATGTTGCCACTGTCCCACCTTCTTTCTACCACCCATCATGGGTTGCCGGCGGTGCCCGAGAAGCCTTTAGTGACTTGTGCACAGAGCTTTCTGCCACGCGTGGCTGCCTTGGCCACTCTGGTCATGTTGGCTGTGCGGTCTCCCCTGTCTCATAGATGTTAGGGTAGGAAGGGACCTCAATAGATCATCGAGTCCGACCCCCTGCATAGGCAGTAAAGAGTGCTGGTTCTAGATGACCCCAGCTAGATGCTTATCTAACCTCCTCTTGAAGACCCCCAGGGAAGGGGAGAGCACCACCTCCCTTGGGAGCCCGTTCCAGACCCTGGCCACTCGAGCTGTGAAGAAGTTCTTCCTAATGTCTAATCTAAATCTGCTCTCTGCTAGCTTGTGACCATTATTTCTTGTAACCCCCGGGGGCGCCTTGGTGAATAAAACCTCACCAATTCCCTTCTGTGCCCCTTGCCCATCTTGCCCTGGCCCCCCTCTACATGTTACATTTATGCCATGACAAATGAATTTATTGCACATGCTTCTGGTTTAAGGCAAACAAGCTGTAGAAACGTCCTCCTATAACGGAGGATGTTTTTCTGGCCAGTTCATATGGTGCCTTAAATGCAACTCAGACTGTGGGATCAGGAAGGAATTTTACCCTGTCGTTAGATTTTTATGGACAGAGGGGGTGGGTTTGCCTTCCTCTGTGCCATCGCGGGGCAGGTTCAGCCTTTATTTGGGATCTCTTGAAAGTATATTAACATTTTCTAGAGGCAGGACAATGATAGCCACAGGCCTGGTGGCAGGTTCAGGTGAGATGCCTCATATTGTGTCAGAGTTGTTCTAGATCAGTGGTTTTTCAGCCTTGTTTCATGCATGGAAAAATTTTGATTGGAGCGTGGGACCCCTTTGAATTGTAAGGGTGGGTATTCACTTACTCTTGACTGATTGCGGACCCCTTAGACATAGTCTGCAGACCCAGGGGTCTGCAGATTGAAAACCACTGGTTTAGATGATGGATTTGCATGGGGATGAAGCTGGGATCCCTTCCAGTTCTGCTTTTCTGAGTCTACAGACACCCCTTCTTTAGCCTCACTTCTCTCCAGTGGAGAGCACTGAGCCGGAAACCTTGCTTCTGCCTCAAGCCTGGGCTCTTGCCCCTTTGTCGGTCCCTGCCCCAGATGGCACTGAGGCCTGTTCGATTACCTGGTGTGGTCTTGGAAGCGACTGTGACACTGTGTTCTTTCAGGGGTGGCTGTGAAGCCTTGGAGTCCCTTCAGCCCTCACTTTGTGGGCAGTTTGCCACCCCTTGATGTCTTTTATGATGAGGGAGGCAGCCCCAGTTCTTCCTAAATTGCTCTCTCAAATGACCACCAGATGCCCGTGGTTACTGCCGTATGGGCTAATTTAATTGCATGGCTCCATCCCATCCCTACATCATGTCCCATGCCTTGCAGATGGCAGCTTCACTGATGTGATGGCATCTTCACTTTCACTTAGCCCCTCCTCTGGGGTTTCTGGACTCTTTCTCCTAGTCTCACACTCTCAGCCGCTCGGGAGGCTTCTGGACCTTCTCTGGGGTCACCAAGAGAGGCACCAAGCGTCCTGCCACAGTGACAAATCAGCTCATTGTTAGCCAACCCCGTGGGCACTAGGTTTTCGAGTGATCTCACCCCCATGCCTGCAAGGGCGTAGCAGGAGGCATGATGGTTGGGATCGGGGATCAGGTCTCATCCTGCCATTGAATGAACCTCCTGAAATCCCTTCCAATCCTCATTTTCTATGATTCTTTCCTTCTCAACAGTACCTGTCTTTGGGAGGAAGGTGGGAAAACCTTTCTTTTCCTTTAAGGACCAGCCTCGGCTTTGCACGTCAGGAGGGTTTTGGTAGCACACCATCTCGGGAGGG